TATTCTTATTATATCCAATTTGTTTAGTTTATAATAGCCTTTGAATCTTTAAATAAAAATATTTTAAGTACCCAATTCTAAAAGAAAAAAAAAAATAAATACACCTCAGTTATTCCAAAAAGGGATTTAAAATTTTAGAACTCGGAAAGCTCAAGGTAGGATGGACAATATCAGTTTAATTTTTTGGTCTTGGGTGGTGTGTTGACCAATGAATATGAGTTCATGTTTTAAGCAGCAATGTTCAAGCAGTTGTTTTACTTGGATATGTTCTTAAGAACCTTTCCACTGCTTTAAGGAACATGCATCTTCATTTTCAAGGACAAGCTAAACTCACTGTAATCCCAAATGTCCAAATCTGTTCATTTTCTAAGATCTGAATATGTTTTTGAATGCTTGGAAAATGTAATGACGGTCACTTAGCTTATTCTTGAGATTTGCTGCAAATTGGAAAGGGAAAGCTGGAAGAAAAGGATTAAATCTTCATGACTTTTTTTTCACTTTGAGACGCATTTAAACGACTCTTCTATCTTGAAAATGTTCTACCAGTTTAGAACAATGTTTCTGACCAGCTTCTGTAAGTACACACTGGCAATTTAGTGTAGATGGATGGCTACTTTTAACTAGGCTTATGCTCAGCTGTACTCCTAGAAGAGAATAGTGTCTAAACATGATAACTGTTTTCATTCCAACAATGAAGTGCTTAAATTGTTTCTCCTACTATTGCTGCTGTTGACAGAGCTCAGTTAGTGGAGAAAAACACTACTGAATGTGAAAATAGCAGATTGACACAGCCCAGATACCAGTGTAGCCAGCGTTGTGTTCCCCAAGGCTTCCTTAGCATTAAGTGAAAAAAATATATGAACTCAAAATGCTCCATGAAAATCACCGTTTGAGTTAAAACATAATAAACCAACTTCCATATTAATAATTTGAGGCTACATTGTCATTAGCATCTGCATTGACTATTTTAAAGCTTCTGTAGATATGCCTGCACAAGGTATGGTGAGACATTGAGACGTGACTGTGGACTTATTCATGCAGCGTGGATCCTTCTGTCAGTCTTTTATGATGCTAACAAACAGTAGGAAGACAAGATAGAAGCGCAGGTGTGTTTACATCATGCAAAGAAATAGGATGCTGTGTAGGCAAGCCTCAGTCACATTATGAGTTTTTCTTTGGATACCCCTAAAACTTAAGTTCTCGACTTTCACTGACTTTTTAGGGGTGTTTGGAGGCCTATTGTGTAAGACACATCAGAAAATCTCACCTGCTGTGTGGTGATTCCTAACCCTGTATTTTTGCTCTCGTGTCAAATAAATGAAAGCTGTTGGTATTTCAATGTGAACTGATTAGGAAGGTCTTAATTCAGTTTCAAAGCAGTTCAGATACTGACTTTAATTTCATGGAGCACAGCTCAGCCATATTAGAAATCTGTACACAACAGCATCACATTTCTGTAGAAAAACTAGAAAGTGGAACATGAAATGGCTCTTCATGTCCATAAAAGTATTATGCTCAGATTAAATGCATCATCAGCCATTCAACCGTATGATTGCTTGTTAGATATGCCATTTTATGCAAGTCTTGATACTTAAGAGAAATGTCATCTTAGTCCATGGCCATCATTGTGCGTAATTGGTATCTTTTAAGAAACTAACTACCTGATTGGCAGTCTTATTTGAGTAGTTAGCTGTCTAAATCTCATCATTGTTCCTACCGGAACTTTTTGGACCAAAACTGCCAGTTTTCAAGTTTCTTGGCTGTGTGTTTCTACAGAGGGCTTATAATTTAAGACTTTATGCTAATAATTCTAATGTGATTCTGCATGGCTTTTCATTAAAATTCAAGTATACAGAAGTATACAAAATATCTATTTCTATAATATTTCTTTTGGAAGTATTTTTTTTTAATTAAAGGTAGCAACATTGTCATTTATGCTGATAGCACTAAAATCCAATTTAACATCTACATCTTCCGGTAACAGTCCCTCGCATTACAGGTTCTTATTCCCAGACAATAGACCTCATCCTATTCTTTCTATGGCACTCTAACTCAGAACTAAGAACTACTTTTGTTAGTCTATTTTTCACTTGTTGCATCTTACAACAGCAGTAGCGATTGCCTGACTGATGACCGCTATTAGAAGCTTTGTATGCAGTCTAATGCCAGGATACGAAGACATTACCAGTCCTGATCCAATTCAGATAAGTGTATCACACATTTCCAATTGCAGCATGTTCTAAAAGGAACCTGTACTTTTTTAGTGTTGCTGATCAAAGTTCCAGTCTCACAGACCTTAACTAACTTGAAAGATCTTACTTGCGTTTTGGTCTCATTGAAGATTACTTGTTAAGGTTCTCAGTCTTGCCCTATTAAAATCAGGATTCAATACCAAGCTTTCACTTTCTTTCCACATAAAATTAACTATCCTTCAGTCTCTGTTTTAGTAGCTTTTACACACGTGAGTACTGCTGTTTCGTTCATAAGTTTGTCCTAGTATATTCACAGCTATGCTGCTTGTGGGAGCCTTAGCAGGAATTTGAAATTATCTCTATCCCAAATGGCTCTAAATGCACCTAAAGGTTTAAAGTATTCAGCCTCCAGAGGAATGGCCAGTTCAGTTCAGTGACAAAAATGGGAGTAGAGCTCTTTTGAAAAGCTGCTCCCAAGGGTTGTTGGACAGAGCCCTTTATGTCTTGGTTTATGCATTAATTCTGCTTTCAGCTGCAAGGTTTTACAATACAAATTAAGAAAAGTTTTATTTCAGAATTAAAATATGCTATGGAAATCTTTCATTTCAAAACCAAAGCTGTCTGGAGATCCTGAGAATTCTGAATTATTTCAAAGGCATCATATTGTCAACTTTATGAAAGTCATATATTTCCAATGGATATGTTGTGGCCATTTTCCCTTGATTCATTTTTTGGATGTATTTTTTAATGACATGTGTGTTAACAAGCTTCAGTTTATGACCTTGACATTTGCTTTCTTTTCTTCTGGAGGTCTTCATAAATCACCAAAAGATTTTGTTTAAATCATTATAAATAAACCAACCAGAGAATAAGTCATTGAAATGGACAGAAGCAATTTCCTTTCTCTCTGTTTGTGCATAATAGTTGTCTGGCCCATAAGCTGTACAAAGAGAGTGAAACATTTGCATGGCAGAGAAAATGCAACCGTATCTGCGTTTGACAAAATAACAGTACATTCATAATGCTGTTGGCTTCTTAATTTCAAAAGGCAGATTTTAATATTACTGACTTCAGAGAAAGATAAGAAGGGCAGTGCATAAGACGTTATCAGTCCAGTGTGGAAATAATGCATTCAAAATTAAAGACAGCAGTTTAATTAAGTGCATGAAAGGCTGGCTTTTATGATCATATTTCAAATAGTCGAATGTCTTTTCATCCATTCTGCCGTATGACTTTACTTAATAATATATCAAGAACAAAAAATGTATTGGAGTCTTTCTGCAAATTCAATTAGTCCAATAAAAAGTGAAAAATAATTTCTTTTTCATTAAAAAGAACTCAACCCTAACCCTTCTGATGACAAAGTGCAAGATGGGGGGGGGAGGGGGATGCTAAAGAACCAATAAAATTCTGCCTTTGTTACGCATTTATGTGTGCATGAAACAGATGAAGTGTCACCATTAGTAACATTTGTTATTGGAAGGACTAATTGCATTCTGCTACAGTTAGTAGTTTATCAGATCCAGACCACAGGGTATTTACTTCTCCCTTAGGATGCACTCACAGTGTAGCAATAATTCCATAGTTTATTGGGCTGCTATAGGCAGGGTAATTATGCTAAAGTGTACCTCTTTCAGTGCTAAACTTAAAACTACCATGACACATTGCACTAGTGCTTTACAGGTTAAGTGCAACCTCTTGAATCCTTTCTACCTGCTAAGGGTTTATAGCTAAGGGAAGTGCAGAGATCGTAGATCTTGTGTACTAAACCAGAAAAACGAGTAACACAAACAACCCAGAAGTGCAGCATTTCAAATGAGAAATTATTAAGTACACGATGCAACAAAGGAAGTAACGAGCGTTTAGAAAACTTTGAGATCAGTTAAAATGGGGTGGCAAAAGGATCTGTACTAAGATATCGAGCTTTAGACTGAAAGCAGTAGGTTACTGGCTCATCCATGGCACACATCTGTAGTGACTGAAAATTATTACCACTTGTCAGCTCCTCTCTGACCTCTGTGAAATGAGGTGCTAGTCTCAGTCCGGCTCCCAGTGGGCAGACCTCTCCATTACAAACACTTCCCGCGCCACGGCTGGTTTGTCAGTCACAGCCTTGGCGCAAAGGCTTGTAGCGGTACCACGGTGAATAAACAACATCCTCACCTCTGAAGCTGGTTCTTTCAGGTCAGGGCTCAGGCAGGCTGGCAAATAATTGGAGAAAGCTTGAAACTCCACCACTAACACAGGGTGGCTCTGGGTAAATAAAAGATCTCATTTTCCAGAGTTGCCCGTTGACAGGTTTCACTTCTACTGACATAACTAAATGTGGCCCTAAGGGTTGTTAAGGAATGATCTGGTCCTGTTCTGTTTATGGGCACCCACTATACAAATTGATTCCTCTCTGCTGTCATTTTTCCTCTTACTTGTCTTGCTCTTGATTCTTTTAATACCATGCTGTCTGTCTAGGGGATGTTTCCTACTATGTTTCTCTCAGTATGTGTTTATGAACAGATTCTTTTCCAGATATCTATTCATGTCCTAATCTCATTTTAACTTCAAAATATCCCTCTCCCAGAGGTTTCCTTAGAATAATTATGCATACTGTATAGAATCAGACAGGCTGCATTCTGAAAATACAGCAATGAATTTACAATAGTGACTCATCAGTTTTTTTAAACAAATAATTTTCATATAACAGAGGTAAGAACTATAAAAATTATTTCCCCTTGCAAGCATGCAGGTAGAGATAAGAGCGAGTGTTTATGGAAGTATGATTTAATAAACATGTGTTTGGTTTTTTTCATATAGGTAACCCTCCCGCTACAGGTACAGGAACTTTACACATCACCTTGGAGGATGTCAATGACAATGTCCCATCCCTTTATCCAACACTGGCCAAAGTTTGTGACGATGCAAAAGATCTCAGGATAGTGGTACTAGGAGCGTCCGACAAAGACCTTCATCCCAACACAGACCCATTCAAGTTTGAACTGAGTAAGCAATCTGGCCCAGAAAAATTGTGGAGAATCACCAAACTTAACGGTAAGTCTATTACTTTTTTTTCTTATGCATTGAGTCCTCCCGCCTCTAGATCCCAGTACGCTCACCTGAGGCTGTCCATTATGTGAATTCAGGAGCAGTTGTGCATTAAATTCTTGCAGGATGGACCCATTGCTGCTGCTTTACACTGTGCTGGTTTTGCTCGGACCAGCTGTCTGGTGGGACATACTAATATTCTGTTTGCATTTTCTCTGAAATCTGAACTTTTTCCCTCTTCTTATTACATTGACCAAACTTTTTTCTTTTAGCTTTGCATTAAAGAAAAGCTACTAATGACTTATAGTTCTGTAAAGATTACCATATTTCATGACATGGAATTTGTTTGCATGAGATGCACAAGGCTTTGCTATAGGACAGCATGAAACTTTTGCATGGGCTTTAGCAATGTACTTGAAAAACTTCCTGATTTTAAGTATTTGAACTCTTCACAAATAAAATACCCAAATTCACTGGGACCAAACACTATTGGTAAGAGGAACAAAGCACATGCTATGCAATTGCAGAAGGTTCGTATGGCAAACTGTGGGCACAAAGTACTCCATTTCCTTTTAATGTAGATTATTTCTATTTGTTTTCTAGCATGTATTATTTATCTCTGTCACTATCAAATCTTTTAGCAGTTCATTTCATATTCCCCTTAGAAAAACTAAAGATGGATGTGGTGTCTGTAGCTGCCTGCAGGACAAAATGGAGTCATCATTTTCTTTGCTGTTCTCCAAACATCAAACCACCACTCTGTTAAACCCCCTAAAAGAGTTAGCACACTCACCTGGGTACCAATAGGTGTTATGACCCACTGTTGCTCAGGTGGAGGAGATCTGTGGATCTGAAGGGGCATTACCTCCCTTCCCTGCCTTCTCAGTCAAACGGGGGAAGCAGTTAAGCAGCTTTTTCTGTATTCCTTCCAAGAAGGGGTTTTTTCCTTTGGTAAATAGCTATATTTTTCCCTCTTGTGTTGCTTTGTGGATGATGTGTCTTAGCATTTCATTAGTAAATTAGTTTACACAAGCAAATTCTGCCAATAATTTGCAGACCAAATCATGTATTTAAATAAAAGGGGCTCTTAAAAGTCTTTCTTTTGGTGGGGTTTGGAATAAGTTTGCAATTAGCTCTCAGCCCATGAAAGAATTTCCATAATGCCTTTTCTTACCTCCAGTTCAATTCTTTAATCTTTTCCTTAGAGCGTTCTCATTTTCTTCTTATTTCCATGAGTAACTGTGGCACGTCTAATATTGTTTGCAGATTCCTCTTCCCTTCCAAACCACCGCTATTTGGCTAATTCTTACCTTATCTTTTGCAGATACTCATGCCCAGGTTGTCCTGCTTCAAAACCTGAAAAAGGCCAATTACAACATCCCAATCTCAGTGACAGATTCTGGAAAACCACCTCTGACTAACAACACAGAACTGAAATTACAAGTGTGTTCCTGCAAGAAATCCAAAATGGACTGCAGTGCAACTGATGCCCTTCATATCAGCATGACCCTTATCCTTCTTTCACTCTTCAGTTTATTTTGTAAGTCTTTTCCTGAACTCTAAGTAATGAAGTATTATTTAGCTGCTCGTTTGTACACTGCATAAGAAAACCTACCAAGGGAGAAGTTAAATTCATACATTGATATCATAATGCAGTAAGTTTGGGGTTCTTTTTTCCTGAGGAAGTAGCTAGAAGAAAGAGGGAGGGGAGGTTTTTTCCATAGTCAAAAAATAGCAACAAATGCCTGGTTGTCAAATTAAGAAATAGAAGCAATAATTTTAAGAAGGATCAAAGAGAATTAGAGCTAGCATATGATAAACCAAGAAGTACCAGCTGTAGTAGCAGATTTGTGAGACGCTTTCTTTCATCTCTCCCCACTTGAATTCAATTCAAAAACAGAAACAGGAGATTAAAGGTGTTCTTGTAACAATAGCTGTTCTGGGTCACCATGAAAATGAGTACTGTCTGCTTCAATCTATTCCTCTGTATAAAGTGCACAAGCAACTGGAACGTGAGGAACTTATTCAAGATTCTGGGCTTAGAGCCACCCAGAATTGATAATGAAATTGCAAGTCTGGGTAGGAGGGCAGAGAGACCTGATATATAAAGGAAGGTTCTGCTGCTTCTGAGAAAGCTTTCTAAGAGAGACTTACAAAATTCCTCATTTGAATGAGTAAAAAAAACATCTGACTATGACTGAAGAGTAGGAATTCAAAGCCATGGAATCCCACCATCTAACCTAGATGTGTCCCTGGCTTGTCCTGGGACAGCTTCCAGCAAAATTTTTGATGCAGTATTATTGTTCCTTATCTGTTAGAGAGGAATAGCTGTATCCTATAACTTTGATAGTAAATCTGTTATTCAAGGATTATTACCGTCATCTTCTGTTAGTAAAATACATTGTATGGTGAATTAATACTTGAGCCATGGTGAAAGGCCTTACATTCTTGATGAGATAAAATCTACCATGAGGCAGAGATAGAGGTCAAGGCAGAGACTAGTTTACACATCTGAGGCTTGGTGTATGCTTGATTACACATCTTGTCAAGTTTTTTCTTATAGTATATTACTTTCATCCCAAAAGGTTAGCATGAAGGTCATTGTGAGAGAATTAGAACTAGCTAATGTTTGTGATGCTCTTTGAAGATGAAAAGGACTATATAAATGCTAAGTGGAAATTCACGTTCTTTGTTCCAATCAGTGATATCTGAAGTATGTCCATTGGCTTTGGTTCAGTTATTCTGGGTTTAGTCTGCTGGAACCAAACGCAGACTTCATCTGTTAGAAGTAATATGTTAAAAGTATTTGACAGTACGTGACACTATCGCATCAGTGATATAAATATGCAGCCCACTGATTCAAATATATTCTTGTTACCACTTCATAAATGTTGCTAGTGCTATACTAAGCATGACTTTCACCACTGGAATTACTTTCTTATCTGACATGATTTGCACTTGAACTTTATTTACATTAATGCACCTGCTCAGAATACAATGAGGTAGAGAAAAGCTTTTTTGCTTTTGAAAGTAATCATGTTGCTTTTTTCTAGCCCCCAAAAGGAGTCCAATCATTTTTCTCACATTGAATTATGAAAAGCAGTTCTAGGTATTGGAAAGCTCTTCTTGAGTTGCTCTTCTTGACTACGGATCTTCCCCAGCTCAGCTGTGGGCAGAATATAGGCCCCTGGCATCTGAATGGTGCGTGGTGCTCTGAATGGCAGAGGGATTCCCTCTCCTACTGTAAAAGAATAAATAGCACTGAATAGTCTTTTACACTGTGAAACAATAGAGACATGCCTAGAGCCTTCCTGCAACCTTACATTCATTCAGAGTACCGTAATAAGTATGGAGAGAGTTGTAATTTTAGACAAAGCATGGAGTAAGATTACTACGCACATAATCCGCCAGCAGTATGATGTTCCTGTCTGTTGTCTGAGCAATAAAACCAAAGCAAAGGGAAGTAGTGGGTGAGTTGAAAGGAAGGGGAAGGAAAGATCTCCCTCTTGGGATAGAGGCTGTTTTATACACAGTTGTTGTGAGTGAGAGCATGATTTGCACAAACAGACTTCAGCATAGAGAGACCTAATCCTCAACACAGGACCGCGGTTTTTTGCTAACATTTGCTACTCCTCAGTTGTGTGGTTTGGGTTCACCCAGTCACACAGAGTGAGGCTGGTATTCCATGTCTGGTACAGATACCTAATAGTGCTTCTGCAAAGCCAGCAAGCGTAACAACTTTCATAACCATTTTCCTCAGGTATAAATGACTACATGGAGACATAAAAGAATGAGGCCGGCAGTCAGTTAAAATAATGTGGTTCTGTATTTGAACTTCTCTAAAATGTGCTGGTATCATTGCATTCCCAATTCATTTTCACACAGTTTTTTTATAACTGCGATTAGTTTCATTGCAATGTTTTGTATAGTCCAAATATTTATCAGAGTAATCAAAGATTACGATGCCATAAAAACAAAGAGAACTTTAGTGCTTATTGAACAGATGAAATATCCCATTTCTAGTGGCAAGTTATGGGTTTAATTTTTGCAAAAGCCCTTACGTGGCTCACTTTGCTCCCAATGTTTATGTTTTATGAGGCTCTTGTTCCTAGGAGGTAAATCCTTCAGTCAAATGAACTTTGTTATTCATGCCAAAGTATTTCTTTTTGTATTTGACATCTGGCGTGAGGATAGATAGCCCTGTGAAAGAGCTGTTCGTGGTAAAAATGCCCTGCATGAACCTCCTCCCCATACAAAACATCTTGGTATTATCATTTAAATGGTGCAATTATTATCTATACTTAGAATATGTGCCTCCTTTGCAAATCATGGAAGAAGTCATATGTGGTAGATTTCTGAAGTATCTGAGCAAAGAACTGAAGAGCCTGATTAAAACTGTAATGCATGCAAAAAGCAGCACTTTTGCCTATTTTGTAGCTGCCCTACTGTGTTCAGTATATTGAGGGATAATGAGATACAGACTACAGAGTTGCCCAGAAGCCTTTGGAAAGGTAGATATACTTGGAACAAGAAAAATTTAGGAGTTCTTGTCAGCCAGAAATAGAAAATGTAACATGCCAATGTATATGGGCAGATTGCTGGTTTTCCACAACAAAACAGTAAGGTGTTTGGTGGAATTGAAAGATGGTGAATATAGAGTTGATTGAAAAAAGGAGCATCTTTGCATATTTTGTACTTAACCTAACTCATTACCACTGGGAATGGCTGAAGTCAAGCTGGAACGATGCATAGTGGACAGGTAGAGGACTTTCCAAAGTTGTAATAGTTAATGCTAACAAATATTGGAAAGAATATTCTTATCTGTCATTAATGCAGACACCACCATGTTCAAGATGAGACCTAGTGTAGTGGCATCTTCTCCTCTGTCAGCTTTTCCTAGCCACTCCTGGAGACAAGATAGGACCAAAATGTTCAGATATAATTTAGAATTTAGTAATTCAGATTGAGGAAAAAGAACAGAACAAAAAATAGATCTGTGTTCCTCGTCAGGGAGAAGGACTACAGAAATCAGTTACTTGAGGAAGAGAGAAAGTGGGAGAAAGAGAAAGCGTGTCATGCAGCATGTCTGGTGCTGGGTTGATTGCCCATGTTGTCCCTTACTGCTGTATTGTCTCAGTCATCTCATGTTTTCAACTGACACAGCTAAAATAGCTCTGTTCAGAATGAATATAACCAAAGTGATATGCTCAACAACACTAGAATTTTAAACAAGTTCTCTCTGGAAGGCTTCTGAACATTTTTCGTAAGAGAGTATCTACAACGTTGCATAACGATGAGGGACGGAGAGAGAGGGAAAAAATACAGCCTGTATTGCAACCTACAAATTGGTAGCTGGTATTTCATTTAGGTATTAGTTGAACAATACCTAAAAGGGAGAACCAATACCTAAAAGGGAGAATAGCTATCCTTGAAAATTTTGCTTAAGTATCATCAATTTCACAACAAATTATTGTACATATATGTTTAACAAACATTTAACAGCGATCTCTTCTCGAGATATACTGAGGTCGGTAAAGCCATGCTTTTTGCCCACTGGCAATGACATGGCAGAGTAAGTTTCTGTAAGGAACTTGGTCAGAACAAGCCAAATCAAAGGCATACATCAAAGAACTTTTAATTCCTAAGTTACCTACAGGTGACTGAAAAAACAAAACAAGCTAAAAAAGTAAAAGATCAAGATAAAAACAAATTTGTGTATATTGTCATAATGAAGTTGGCAATAAAACCTGCCCCAGGCCCTATGGGAGACTGAGAAAGAACTACTTTAGCTGGCAGAACTAGGCTTTATATCAATTACAAATTATTTATATTATTATTATTTAAAGGAGTATTTGAATTCTGGACTTTTGACAATAATTATTTCACTTAATTGCATAATCAAACAATGATAATTGCATTTTATATTTCCTTTTATATTCTACCAACATAAAAAACCAAGTTAGATTCAAATAAGTTGAATCAAGGGACTAAAAGAAGAACCAAAGGCACAGTAGTCATCCTGAACAAGCAGAATTCAGAGCAATTCCATTAGTAGCTCAGTCACACTAGCAGTAATATTTTAGTTAAATTTCCTTGTCAGAAAAAGACTGGACTTTAAACATTTCATGTTGGGAAAAAAAATAATGATATCTTACTTGACTGTAAAACATTGATAAACGTTTTTTTATTAACCTGGCCAGTGGACTACAAAGTTGTAAGTTGACTTGAGCTTCAATAAGTAAACTATTCCATTATTATGAACAGAAAGTAAGGTAAAAGACTGGGGGGAAATACTGCTATGAAGAAATTAAATAAGCTGGAGGTCTCTACATTGAAATTAATTTGCTAAACTGAGGGTGAAAGGCCTCAGGTGTGTTGAAAAACAGAGACACACACAGATGTCTGTACTGCGATTGCAAAGAAGCCTTAGAGATACCCTTGAATTTAACTTCCTATTAATTTCCACTAACTTTTCCTGGTTTAATGCCTGCTGTCCCCCACCATGTTTTTCTGATTTGAGGGATGAAGCTCCAGGGTCAG